AGGGCCCCACACATCAGCATGCACATAGTCAAGTATATCAGAACATTTAGAAGAATTGGGGAATGGAGACACAGGAAATTTAACTTTAGTTTGTTTTCCAAGGATACATGAATCACATATAGGTAAATCAGTCACACAATCATCACTCAGATAATTATTCTTATGCAGAATTTCAAGACCTTTACCACTTATATGACCTAACCTCTTATGCCATAGAATAGACATGTCATGATTAACAGTGTTGGCATGCAAAACAGGTTCAACAGAACATACATAAAGATTTTGCATTCTAACAGCTTTAAAAACAAATTTATCATGCATCATGATTCTTTGACAACCATCTCCCCAATTACCATGCAGACCACTATCTTCAAGAATAGCAACAGACAAAAGATTACTGCTAAGTTGAGGAACATGCCTAACATTCTTAAGAATTAATTCAAAACCAGATTCAAATTTTAGGCAGATTGTTCCAATTCCAACTACAGTTCTTTCACTGTTATCAGCCATAGACACATTACCATTTTCAAGTTTCACATAAGAAGAAAACAGATGTCTATGAGGTGTCATATGATGGGTGCATGCAGAGTCAAAAATCCAATCATTATCACATAGAGAGGAGATCACAGAGTTCACATAATCATGCATTATATCACCAACCATAAACACATCACCCAGGTTATCAGTCACAACATTAGCATGTTCATTGGTTCTTTCGTTTTTAGGCTCAGAACACTCATTAGCATAATGACCATTTTTACCACAATTATAACACTTTCTGCCTTTGGCTTTAAACTTATTCCACCCCTTGCCATTTTTAGGTTTTTGTAAAGACTGGTTTTGGTTACTAGAGGAAGCCTTATTTTGAAATCTATTTTGAAAATTGTTTTGAAACTGATTTTTAGGCTTCCCTTTCACAAAGTTGATTTCACCAAAAGATTTACTACCCTTGGTAGCTTTTAAATCCAGTTCTTTGCTTTTTAAACCATTTATCACAGTATCCAGAGAAACCTTATCTCTGCCATACTTAATGGCTGACTTTACATCACTGTAAGTATCAGGGATAGCATTTAACAAAACAATAGGAGAATAATCATCAATATTTTTGTCTCCAGTCAGTTTAATATCCTGAACCAGTTTTGTAAAAACATCAAGGTTTTCATCAATGTCTTTGTTTAAATCCAGTTTGAATCTAAAAAATTTTTCCAACAAAAACATTTTGGAGGGCAAGGAGGTTTCAGTATAAAGTTCTTCCAATTTATCCCACAAGGCTTTAGCATTATCTTGTTTTCCTAGTTTTCTAATCACAGAGTCACTTAGGTTCAAGATAATCAAAGAATAGGCAAGTTCATCAAATTCTGCCTTTTTGGCAGCAGGAGTGGTATCATCATAAGCTAAAGTAACAGCTTTAAAACATTTTTGTTGTACTAAAACACCTTTTATTTTCTGTTGCCAAATAGGAAAATCCCCTTTCCCATCAAAAGGAGCTAAGGGATAAGCATTCATTGTTTCACACAGATAACAGGCACAGAATCACACAGTCACACAGAATCACACAGAAAATACAGAGTATAGCAATAACAAATCAGATTGCCCTCCCCTTTCCAGATTCCTGCGACACTAAGGCGGTCCGGACAAGAAAGGGTGGATGAGAGCAATCCTTAACTACACTAAGTGCGGAAAAATAGCAAGTAGAAGAGAGGGAAAGATCAAGCAAGGTCAAATAATGCCACACAGGGCCACATAATGCCACACAGGGCCACCACGCCACACAGGGCCAACTCAATAGCCACACAGGGCTCCCAATCTCCACAGGTCAACGAACAAGAAATGAAATTAGGGTTTCAGAGGTGTTACCTTGACAAAACCAAGTTAGGTTTTGAATTACTCCGCTTTTGAGTAGAGCTAAGCTATAGCCATAGCTCTGATACCACTGTAGGGTATCAAATTGCCAAGCTCCATTCACAACCTACTGTAAATTATATATATTCCCCTTGTGCAGTATTAATTACTGCAAAGGAGAATAGATATATATATATATATATAGGTATGAAAATATAAAAGGAAGAAAGAAATACAAGGTATGAAATTAGTTGGAAAAACAAATAGATTGAGATTTTCAGCTCAGTCTTCCAAATTTCACACCAGAGATTCACACTTCCAAATATACACCACCAGAGTACCTCAAGGAGAACAGATCTCCTTTCTCTCTCAGAACACTCAAACCCTAAAATACCCAGAAATCACGAAGGAAGAACAGATCAAGCACTCAAGCTAACCCACTCACCAAAACCCCAATTTCTGAACTCACAAAGAAGAAAACGAAGGGATTTAGGTCTGATTAGGGTTTATCTCTGTCTTACCCTCTTCCAGCCTCCATGCCAACATATATAGGGACTGAAGTCAAAGAGAGCCGGTGAAGGCTGTACCGGAGGGTCAAAGTCAGCACTGTACCGTGCACTTTGACCTCCAGCCATAACTCAGTCAAGGCAGTACAAGGGAGGAAGAAGACAGAAGCAGGAGCGGCGGAGAAGAGAGGGTAAGAGTTAGGGTTTCTGAGTGAGAGAAACGAAGAGAGAGAAAATGCTATTTAAGTGAGGTAATGAACGGTCCAGATTAAGCCTGAGATCCAACGGATGGATCTGGCTCTGAAATGGGCTGGGCTCACTTATAATAACTTGGGCTTAACTCAAATGGTGGTGTATAAAATGATGGCAATTGGGCTTTATGGCCCAGAACATATTTGGCCCAAAATCCAACACCAACGAACGAAACTTGATCAATTATATTTCCACAAATTTCAACCCAAATTAACAGTGACACCGTCTCAGATCAACCAATTCAATATGAAAAATTTCCACTTTGATATATTGTATACGGGTAGAGTAGGTACCCCCTTTCATTAATTATGTCATATGAAATTCATGTCCAATGTTTCCCACTTGGCTTGCACAGGGCATTGAAGCACAAAAATATTTGCATAAATATGATTGCATCAGAAAATATCAAACATAAAAGTCTGAGATTTCGAGATTTCCTGCCAGGAAACCATATTTCACCTCCATCCTATCATATATATATATATATATATATATATATATATATTTCTATTAATATATATATACATCCAACCAAAGTAATAAAACAACATTATAGACTAGCCTCAAGCCAATGGCATCAGTACAAAGAAAAGAGTACTTACACGGTTAGCTTCAACGGGTTTATTTGCCTTTAACTTCTGATCACATTAGAGCTTATGCTAATTAAAATAAAAATTAACAATTCAAATAAGTAGAGAGGTGTCGAATGCAACAAAAAAAGCCACATAATTACCTCTACGTATAAAAAATTCAAACAAGGATATAATTATAAAAAAGGTCGTGGGGATTTAATTAGTGTTGCTAAAACCAAAGAAATTGATGGACAATCACCATCACAGAATGAGCTAGACTGTCTGCTGCTTCTTGCGTTGATGCTTCAGCATACACTCTCACCACATCTTCGGTTCCCGAAGGCCGTACAAAACATCGTCCTTTGGTGTATTTTGCTGACACAGAGACGAATTAAAATGTGAATTTTCTCTTACCCAAACAGTAAATTAACTCAAGATGTGTATATAGTACTAGTTTACGTAATGTTATGAATCATCATCCTATCGAGAAAAGAGATCGAGGCCTGATCCAACGTTGCTTAAATTTTGACTAATAAAATTAATTCTTACATTTTGCGGAACAAATAAGTAGAGTTGCTTAATTCTTTTTGAAGCAAAACTGACTAATGTACCCGGTACTATGTTGATCAAAACCAGAACAATTTATTTTAATTTATTTACATCTAAGGAGGCGTGCAACAAGAAAAAGGAAAAAAAAAAAAAAAAGAATACTTCCACAAATTCACAAGGACGCGCCAGAAAACGAGTTACCTATTTCAGCATCAATGGCTTCTTGTATACCGACAGGGCTAACAACTACAGTCTCTGCATTTCCAGTAATGACAGCTGTCCTGTCAACAACCTTTACCTGAACAAGTGAAGAATTATTTCGTATTATATATTTTTAATCAATGGAGAAACTTACTTCCTCAAAAGATTGAAGAAAACGTAGTTAAAAAGTGGAGTTTTTTTGCATTTCGCACCCTTGTATTCACTTTAATTGTCGAAACGATCTCTCGGTTCTTTTTATTAACATAAACACCACATGATTGAAAGTCAAAGGCAAACAGTGCCTCTTTTGATTAGGAAAATGCAGCACAGGATTTTTTTAGAAATTCAAAAAAAGTAAAAGGGAGATTCTTTCGGTTCACCGATAAAAATAGACTCGGCCCGGCCGCCTAATCCAAACTCAAACAACAATTGGTAAAATCTGCTCTACCCATTAGGAATGACAAGAAATAAAAACTAATACTTGCACCGAATTAGAATCAAGCATAACTTCTATTTGTAGCCACATGTAAGACAAAAATTAATTAAATGAGTTGGGTGATTTTAAAAAGCTACACATCATCAATGCTACAGCATCTAAAACTCGAAAGCCATTAATCTGTTTAATTAGATAAATCTATCATAAGTAAGATGGATTAGGCTTGGGTGCCTAGTAAATGAGACCCATTCCATTTACAACTCTCAGTAGCATTGTAGAGTTCACACTACAGACAGTCAAATGCCAAACCATCTACAGTACAACCTCAATAAATTAATAACCCCACTTAAATAATAATTTCTTCCGGTCCGGAGTAGGTAAAAATGTATTAAATTATTAACTCGATAATTTAATATTTCGCTAAATTAATAGAATCTTGCTAGTCCCGACTGTATTAATTTATAGAGGTTTAACTGTAGATAACAGTGGCGAAAATATCAAGAATAAAACTAACCTTGAGTTGTCTGCTAGGTAAATCTTGGTAAAGCTCGTTCCATTTTTGGATAGACCATCCCATATGTTGCAAGATAGCCTCCACCAAAAGCAACCCACTTAACGCGTCTCCAACAGCCTGATTAATCAATTTACTCACAGCCAATAGATTCGAAGCAGCCTTATGTTGATCGGAACCTGAAAATAAGTCAACCGATATATAATCCATTTTACCAAGAGCATGTATATAATATAATTAAATAAAACCTTTTGACGTTGACGAAAGTTCGTTGTTTATATTCTCCAACCATGAAAGAAAAGTCTCCGAGAACAATATAGTTCCGTGTCCATTTGCTTCAAAATAGATGCCGATATCGTACTCAGCGGCTTTTTCGTGCAGGTATTTGACCCCAGTAGGAGTTAGCACAACTTCAAGGCCCAATTGTTTAAGGTATTCAGTGGATGCGCCATTAGCGTAAGCTGTCTGTACCACACCGAGTGATGCTTTATATGATGACGTGTTTGCTTTGTCATCAAGAATACGCAATTGCTCTTTTAGAAATAAAGCAAATAAAGACAATATCTTGTCCCCGTCAACAAGGTCGATCTTGTTACTATTTGATAGAACCGAGAAATATACAAGCCGATCAGCATCTCCGTCCAAACTGGCACACCTGAAACACTAGAGATAATTCCTTTAGGTCTTGGGCAAAACACCATAACTTAAATAACTTTGCAAATGATAGTTCGAGCTGGAAATCTCGTCACATAAAACTGTTAGCGATAACCAATAACAAAACATTTAGACACATGATATATTCCAAAATAAATGATTCAGCAATAATATTGACTTTATTGATACAATATACGATGCCATTAAAAAAAAATATAATAATAATAATAATATATTTTTTCCGCATTTATACAAATTTAAATATACGATGCCATTTAAAAAAAATAATGATAATATATTTCTTTCGCATTTATACCTATTTAAATTTATTATTCTAGATGCATTTCAGAGGTTACCCTTTAAAATTGATTAGTTCTTGAGTCTTTAAAATTGATTAGTTCTTGGAGATAATTATGAATATAAAAATTCACAAACTTTAAACAAGAATTACAAGGAAAATAAATTACCTAATGCCGGCATCAGAAGGACCAAAACCACGAGGAACAACCTTCTCTTTCTGCACATAATCAGCACCTACACCTTCGTTAAGTACACCATCACCATAGTTACGAACATCAATACTTAAGTACTTCAAACTTGACTTCAACTTCTCCAGCTTTTCTCCACCAACACCATCAGCCCCATCCACAATCAATTTGTCATTCACATCTTTGCTGCTATTTTCTCGAGGAATATTATCCATCAAGTAGCTGAAAATTTTGTAATTCAGACAAAATTAATCTCGGTTAAAAAGTCAAATGAAGTTAAATAATAAAACTTCTCTAAGCGTAATACTCGAAACTAACCTAAAGGATGTCACAATCTGGTCATAATAATGGTGTTCGGATGCTTCGACGCCTTTATTTTTAGCACGAACCATCCAGTGTAGTTGAGGAGTTGTCAGAACTCCCACATCTATGGCTGTGCCTCCCGTAATACATGTTATGCCCTAGTAAATATTAATTCGCATTATTACAAACAATACTTTACAAACAAAAGTTGTGATCTCACTAAAATTACAAATTCCTGCCACTAACGATTTTTGCAGCATTGAAGTGATAAGTTTATCGATAGGCCTCTCAGTTAATAATTCAGACTGTCTATAAGTTACTACATAAGAACAAGGAAGATAGAAATAAAAAGAGAAGTTAAAGAAAGGGATGCATACTTGTTTAGCAGCTTCCACAAGAGAAGCACCACTCGGCCGAGTGTCTCGTCCCAGCAAAACTCGCGCTGCCGGGCCTCCTTCCAGTGTAATATTTTCCTTCTTTACAAAATCATCTAGCAACTGTTTCCATAATTCAATTATCCAAAATTGAATTTTCCAAAATATTAATCTCAATTGTATAACTCAAAATTGAATCATCCAAAATATTAATCTCAATTGTATAACTCAAATTCAATTATCCAAAATATTAATCTCATTTGTATAACTCAAAATTCAATTATCCAAAATTGAATAATCCAAAATATTAATCTCAATTGTATAACTCAAAATTCAATTATCCAAAATTGAATAATCCAAAATATTAATCTCAATTGTATAACTCAAAATTCAAATTCTCATCCCATAAGTCATGAGATATTCACAGTAAATAAATAAGTTAATTAAGAATACAAAAATCGAATACCTGGAGGAGAGAATTTGGATCAGGGGCATTAGCAATGGCATCAGCAAAGGGTTCCCAGAGCTGAGTCAGCATTCCGCCAGATGGATCGGCGATTTTGACACCATTGTCGGAAACCTGGTTGTGGGAAGCGGTGATCATAAGCCCGATCACCGAACCTGTCTGAATTGAACGGAGCGCCGCCAGTATACCAACTCGGAACACCGTTGACTCAAGCAGAGATGCATCCGCTCTGAACCCGGCCGTGCCATATGATAATTTCACGCCTGCGATACGAGCTTATAATACTGAATAACAATGGCGTAAAATCCGAAAAAAAAAAAAAAAAACTACAGTGGGGGATTTGGGGATTGATTGTTGTACCTGGGGGCGGGGGGAAGAGTGATGAAGAATGGAGGAGAGCTGATCGCTGTTGTTGGTTCATTCTATTGCTTGATTCGCCTTTTTTTTTTTTTTTTCGCAAAATTTTCTAGATTCGTCCACCAATATTTATGTTTTGGTAAATTAGGTTCTCCTCCCTCAAAACTATTTTTGTGTAGCTTTAAGTCCAATCCAATTTGTTGTATTTACTTTAAAATTGATACTGCATTATCAATTAATCAATTCTACCCTTTCTTCACAAGTATCCAATTATAAGTTTGAACAACTGAAATAATAATCTGTAATGAGAAAACATATATAAGAATAAAAATGTTTAAATTTGCGTTAGCTTAGAAATTATAAAAACTATTTTACATTTTTGCACCGTCACACAGACACACCCATAATAGTGAAATTTACTGGGGATAAATTACAATCATCCCTTGAGAATTATATCTTGTTTGGATAATGACATCTAGCTCATCGACTATGATTTTTTCTTAAACATCTATCCTTATTGTGTCAAATTCAACATAATCATCTAGATTATGTGGAATGTGCAGTTTGTACTCGTATCGTGTACAAATACATGTTCTGATGCACCAAAATCTGATATC